TCATTCATTTATCACGTAATATAAATAATTAAAACCAAAGGCAGTGGTTAGCCATTCTTTCCCTGCAACAAGTATATTCTCTCAGGACTACCTGGTGTTATAATTCGCTTTTGTCCTGATCACACATATCAGTTATTTGCATGAGTCTAGCCTGTAGCTGTCAGACAGAAGCTAAATCTGCAGCCAACGTGCTTTCCAGTTACTTCTTACTGAAACTTGTGGATGGCTGCATGGGTCTGTCTTCTGGTAGGGAATGTTTTCCTCATACAGTCATGCAAAATGCAAGATTTTTGTTTCAAAAAATGACCCAGGTGTAGTACATTTAGCTTTGGACTTCACGTACAGGAAATCAAGTACGTCTCTAAATGCAGAACATCAGACTTGATCTGACCTTTTAGTACTTACATTCTTCTAAATTAAATGCTTTCTCTGGTTTTGTGTGTGCATGCCTGAATGCCTGTTCACCAGTAGTGGGGAAGGAGAGGGTTTCCATGACAAGCCAGGACACAGAAGAGGAGACTGGCTGTCTTTAACGTAAAGTGGTGTTAGTGACCTGCTCCCAACATACAGCACCAGGCAGGATGGCGCCGGGGAGGAATACAACGAGCAGGGAAGCTGTTGGCGTGTGGCCAACCTTCTGTTCCTGAATCCAGACCTGAGCAGGAGCAGCTCTTGTACCTTGAGAAGAGATGAACAGTGGTGGGAGCATCTTGGTCTGGCTATGAGGCCAGGAAAGTAGCATTCCAAACCAGAAAGAGGAGCAAACGAGCAGCATAGTGACTTTTTCTCCCCGCCTCCAATCTGTGCTATGTTTATCCTGTGTAGTGACTATGAAGACAAGGGGAAAAAAAGCAGCAAAGTGAAGCATGCTGTTGGCACCCTGGAGAAAACATCTCCTCCTGAGTATTGAGCAGCGATGAAGTGCACATCAAAATTGTTTAGACATTTTGATCCATATTCAGCTATCAGAATTTTGGCTGAAATTCAGCTGAGCCCTAAGCAAAGTCGAACACAAGCCACATACATCTTATCTACACTAATGAGGTGTTGCCCTTTGCTGACTGGAAGGAGATCTGCCAAGATTTTCTTTTCTGGAGCATGATTTGGAAATACCAACTCTCTGTTCAGTGAAGTAATGTATTCAAGCTTCTTGTTCTCTGAATGTAGGTGATAACAATCCTTGTTTCTTACTGCTAGTCCAGCCATCCTGTTCTCCTTTGTGCATGACTTGTGGACAGAAGAAGCTGCTACACCTCAAACAGGAGCTAGAAGGTTCCCTGCTTCAACCCCAGCCAAGATGAACAGAGAAACCAGATTTATTTACAAATTTCTGAACTAAAATCTGTAGCACACTAGCATGCATATACTTTGCCTAATTTGATGGTCATGCCTGGTCCAGGTTAAGTTTGTACTGGTGGGTGATCCAGGCACGCAGGGAACTGGCACGGGACTGTGCTTCCTTCATCCTTACCCCTGCAGCATTGTGGGCAGGTAGGACAGACAAACAAGCCCTTCCTGAAATGGTTCATCACAAGCCACTGGCACTTCCATACATATCAGAAGTTGGAGTTATTTGATGTAACACAGTTTATTGGCCTGATCATGGAGACTCAGATTTATAAAATCACATTTTTATTACTGATTCAGTCATGCACATACATATTTATAGACTTTAGAAAATCTTTGTAATTGATCAAGTAGCACATTCAATTTTAATACAAGGGATTCCTTGTTGTCCCTGCAGAACAACCTTTTTGTATCCACAGGAGGCAGTTTAAAACATGTACAACAGAGTTGCTTGCCTGTCATATGCTTATTATCAGCTTTGGTCTAGGCAGCAGTTACATGTAGATTTGTTTCCTTCTTTGATCTTCACAATCTGTGTGAAAACACGCATTAGAAACAAGAAGGAATGTGTGGCTTTTTAAGCCTGACTTCACTTAGACATCATCAGTCCTTGTACTTTCTGCTTATCAGCTCACATCTCATATCTCTTGCTTTAAAAAGTTGTTCTTCCTAACCCCAATTTGTTTGAGTTTTGAGATTACTCATGCCACTTGTTAACATTCAGTCCCAAACCCATTCATAAATTGCGGTTAGGTTTCTTATACAGACTTACTTAGAATTTGGCTATTTAATGAAAAAGACCTTATTTTGTATTAAACCCTTTCAGACAGTGTGTGAATTAAGCAGTGACCTGTAAGTCTTAATTGCAATTATGGATTCTACTGAACTGGCTTGTTTCACTTTTTAAAAAGTAGTGAGAACTGATTACTGCAGAGTGGCTATTTTCAGAGTAAATCTTAAATTAGCAAACTCCGTTGTTTTGGAAACAAATTCATTATCTGCCAGAGAGCTCAAGATTATGATCAACTGAAAAAGAAAAACCCCAAAAGAAATTTGAACACCAAGGTGCAAAAGGAACACTTTGGTTTTGTTACCATGCTTGGTCAAGTCCAGGAGCAGGAAATAGAGTCAAAGGGGTTGTTAGCAGAGGAATGTGGATAATGTAGGCATTATCTAAACTTTTGGGGAAAAAAATGTATGCTGTGAGTGAAGACAAACAAGTCAACAGAGCTGAGATTTCTCACTGAATGCTTATCTAAACTGACCTCATATTCAGGCCTTTCGAGGTTTTGCAGTCAAAGGTTTGGGTTCCAGTTGGCTATTACAGCACACGTATCTACGGCTTCAGTATGCACCTGAAGAGAATGCTTCCTACTGTCTTGTTTCTAGGATTGTACATTTTCTAGGATATATGTTTTAGACGTGTGCCTTAAAAGCAATGTGCTAGAGTCCCATTTCCCCCACCCCCGGTCCTCCCACGGGTGATTTATCTGCCATTAGTGCTTGTTTCACCAACTGCAAGCACCCTGCTAGCACAGTTCTTTTATACAACCTGAAAATGTTATTCTTTATATGCCAATAGAAATACATCAAATGCATCGTGGGATGAGACCAAATTAATACTTGGGGTTATGTGCACAGTAATTCACAGTAAAAGAAAGATTGAAAGATGTAAAGATGTGTTGAATGTATTCCTTTTTTGTTTGATACATATACAGCATATGTGGAGCAAATAGGTTTGAAAGTATATTTTTATATGCAAATGACAGCAATTTGTATTAACTCCTATTGTGCTAGAACGTAACATTTCATCTGATGTAAGCCTTTCTTTCTTCAGATCCTCTTTCTGTTCTTACAGTGTATGTACAAAGATCTTTCTTAGATATTAAATATCTCGGTAAATTACTGAAAGGGAACAAGCCAGGTACATGTTGTGACATTCTTCCAGTCGAACTAGATATCAAACTCATCTCTTCTACCTTTTTTAAACCCAAGTAATGGATTTATTATATCAGGACAGATGACTAACCAACTTCTAATTAAGCCCTGTTAAAACTTACATGGTGACTGGATTTCAAATCTGGACCTTGTCATTTTTTAAGTGTCTCAAACCTATCGTTTCATTTTGGACTTAACATTTCTTGTACCTAGCACTGGTCTTGAATGGGACTAATTGTACTTTGTTTGTCTGTTTGTTTTAAAAACTAATCAAAAAAGCCCAGTTTTTATATTGATAAATAGCTAAAAAAGTGCTAAGGAAAATGTTTCTATTTTAGAAAGCTTTTAATTTAGAGAAGATTTGACCAGCTAATCTCAAACTGTTCCCCAAATCTTCAAAGTGCAAACAAATTCAGGCTGAAAGGAATTCTGGTTTTCTTCTTCATGGGGACATAAAAGATGGCTGAATAAATTAAAAGGGATTAAAATTGTGTTTCAATAGGACCTTACGGTATGAAGTCACTGTTACTATACCATTATGCAGTGCACAATGGCTGCAGGTGTGGCTGGCTGCTGCTAGGCAAAGGCTAATATTGTTTCACCTTAAAACTTAATAATAAGGCAGCTTCAGTCAATGATTTTCTCTTCTTTAAGAGAGTAATTCATTTAGGAAAGCAGCATGCATGCATGTGTGTAGGCAGCAATAAAATATCTCAAAGTGCCCCAATGTGCTACCTCATGCTAAGTGGTTTGAAAAGGAAAAAGATTTTAATTTAATTTAGAAAACTGCCGTGGTCTTCCACGCATAGTGCGGGGAGGAGAGAAGCGGTGAGCCAGCATGCCACAGCTCCCTCGGCAGGCGTGAAGACAGGCAGCTCCCAGCCCAACTCCAGCTTCCACACCCAGCCGCATGGTGGGGAGGATGGTGGGGAGGAAGACAAACCTCAGCCCTGCCTTCATCCTGAATCGGTGCGACAGTGTCGTCTCTGCCGGAGCAGGCGGGGAAAGGCAGCGAGAAGGGGCTGCTCGGTACCCCCCAGCAAGGGACGGGTGTTCGGCACAGTCCTGGGAAGGCTGGGCTAGCCAGGCTTTTCCCAAAGGGCCTCCATTTCATCAAAAAGACGTAAGTGGAGGGGCTTCTCCCCAATGGGTGAGCCTCACATCTCCCTGCCGCGCTGCCGAAGGAGCCTCGGCCCCGGCTTTTGTACCCCAGGCAGCCTAACCCACAACACGCAGCATTTCTTGTTGAGCGGTAGATCACCTTTTTCCTCTGTATCAGTAGCAATCCAGCATACTCTTGTAATTCCCACGTTTCTATCGCAAAGCTTTTAAGCAGAAATATTTTTCTTTGGGACACACCAAGAATGTACCGAGCAGCTCCCACAGTTTGCAGCGGCTTGTGTCCGACTGTCCCTCCCCACCACCCCGGTGTGTTAACAAAAGCGTGCGTGGGAAGTAGGATTTCCAGGAAGGAACATCGTGCTTGAAGTAAACAACAAAATGTGTTTTCTAGAAGAAAGCTTTGAACTTGAGAGTACCAGTCATTCCCCCCATCTCTGCCTGGCTGATGGAGTCTTGGATATATCCACACACATTCTTCAAATAGCAGGAGGATTCAGGAGGAATCGCCAAAAGTCGCTGAATAACCCCAGTTAACAGGTTCTTTAGCAGAGGGGTATTGCCCAGGGACTTGGGATGACCGCGGCTTTCCCGGGATGTCAGTGCAGAAAGCACTTGTGGCAGCTCTTTTCACCCAGGAGCTTTGCACGCCGAGCCCTGTGGTTAAACCGCGGTGTGAAAGCGATGCGAGTTGTGCTCAGCCAAGGACCTGGCAGCTCTGCGCAGGTACCACCTCCAGCCAGCTCAGCACCGCACGGCACTGCGGCCACGCAGCCCGTCCCACCGTCCCTCCCGCGGGACCCTGTCCGAGCCGGGAAAATATCTGCTTTTTTTTTTTTTTTTAATTTTTTAAACTGAGCGTTTCCTCCCTAACCCGACAGAGAGTTATGCACCCTATGACAAGATGCACTTAACAGTGAAAGCTGAGATAAAGTTCAGAAACTTGGAATTTGTTTCAGCTCGCTCTCCCCTTGCTACAGTTGTCTCCCATTAAAGGCAGCAGAGTTTGCAAGCACAGGGTATCTTCCAGGAATGGGCTCTTTATCTCTATCATGTCAGTGACAGGTTGTTAGGAAATGCAGCCTGCAGTGAAGCAACACAAAAATCTTATGCCTTATTTAAATAATGGTGTTCATTGCCTATTAAAATGTAACTTCTTGCTTTAAAATAGGATTAATTAAAATGTACAAGAATGCAATTCAGTTACATTTTATGCTTCAGCCCAGTGCATGCTTTTCATAACTCATTCCCAGAAGTAATATTCAGGGCAGCCCGGCATTCTCAGTTCTACCGTTAAAAGCACAAATGACTATAAAACCTGTTCTTTTCAAAAACTTGGCTCAAGTACCGCCATTGTTAGATTTTTCATAACATATTACTTTGGTCATTACTGTTTTGCAAGATAATTGTATCAGTGATCTAACTTTTGACAGTATCCAAAGTGGCTGAAAATAGTTTGCTGCAGCACCTTTGTCTTTTAAAGGCCATTTGGGGCTTGTTATTTTAATCCTTGTGCAGCCTGATTTATCACTTCAAACATCTGTCAGCTGTGCTTTGTCTTGAAATTGATAGTGATAGTGTTACTGATTTTTCAACAGCAGCTGTTAGAGGTTCATTAGTTAGGCTCTCAAAGGGAGTAGATAACTGTAATATTTTTCTTTGTTAATCATCTCGTACGCATTGTAATAATACAGAGCTTGAAATCCGCTAGAAATGCACAGCTTCTCTCTGTTTCTAACTTGTCAGAAGCATCCTTTTATTCATTTAATCTGGCTCGATTATTAAAACTCTTCTTCATAATGCAGTAAAAAATTGAATAATGGCACGTGAGTAGGAAGATAGAAAAATCAGCCTTTGCTGTGCAGTACTTAGCGCGGAGGGAGGTCACTCAGGGTCTCGGAGTTCACATCCAAATATGAATCAACTGTGACGAGGAGATTAAGGGCTGTTCCGTAATTGATTTTTAATTTAAAATTTACAGGGCATACAAAACCTTGATGACAACTTCAGTAAAATCAGGTTCCTTTCTAACAGATACAGCAGTTTTCTGTTAATGCATTTTTCCTACCACATAAAATAGTCTTAATGGTTAACCATGATTCTTAAAACATTTCCCCCCAAAAATCCTTGCAAGCCTGCCTCTAGCTGAGTGCCACAGTGACTCCTGCTAGGAGCTTCCAGGGACCCGAGCATCTGTGAACTCTCCTGTAGCTGAGAGCGTATCAGCGCTACCGCTGGTACAACCGGCAATGCTCACCAACAGATAATTACAGTTTGAAATTAGTATTTTAATGAACTGATCTCAGCAAATGTAAAGCGAAATCTCCCAGGCATTAAAGAAATAAGCAGGAGGGAAAATTATTAACTGTAAAGTTCAACAGACGGGTGGTCAGCAGGTGCTATCTTGGCAAAGGAGTTGAGCGTTCCCGTTTCAATTTGCACTAAGAGGAGGCTTGTTCAGGTTTTGGTCCTGCAAGCTGCTGCTGTTCTTAGGGACATGGTTCACTGGGACTTTGGCGGTGTTAGGTTTACGGTTGGACTCGATGATCTTAAAGGTCTTTTCCAACCTAAATGATTCTATGAGCAGCGTCTGCAGGTGGCACGGTGACTTTGGTGGAGATTGAAAACGTCTGAGACATCTCACAAGCTTTCCAGGTGAATAGGAATGGCTTCTAAAAATAACTAAAGGCCAGATCTTCATCCTAAAAGCACAAGTCTCAGTCTCATAAGACAATGCATGTGTCCATAGCACCAGTGAAGCTTGGTGCAAGATAGATTGCAAGAGTGCAGCCTGAATTTCAAGGAAATGTACAAAGTGACTCAAAAAGTACCTGAAAATCAGTTCCTTTTTATATGTTGTCAGAGCATGAATTGTGTTTTCTTCTTAAAGGTGGACAAGTACCTTGATATGGTTTCCGTCAGGCACCATGGTCATGCCAAGTCTAGGGAGAGGGTTGTGTTGAGAGCAGGAACAAAGAGCTAGAGGTACCCGCTTGAAGACCCCAGCCAGAAGAAATGTCCCCCACACCACAGCCTCGACATGCACTCGGATGGCCAGAAGACACAGGCCATCACCCAACAGGAACCCAGAGGCTCAGCTCACGTTTCTTCTTCTCCCTTCCAGTCACCAGGGTTAGAAACTATTCTTGAAATAAAAGCACATTGATTTTTGAACTCAGAGTTTCAGCTTTCAGCCATCTATCTTCAGAAGTCCTTCAGAAGTCCCACCTAGCTAGATTATTCCATTAGTATGTCATAGACTCAATGACCTTTTTATTTTATTTTCTGAAGGACAGTCGATCCCTAGCACAGCTCAAGACACTGTGTAGCCAGTCAGGTGGATCACTGACCCACTCCATGACAGCATTTCCTTATCTGTCCTGTTATGAACCAAAAATTCTTCTTGAACCTTTAATATATTTTTTATATATATCGATATTATCTAAGTTTTCTATATCTACCATAACTGAATTAGATATTTTTGTACAAGACTTTTTTTCAGATCATTCACAGGATGGTTTACATTTATGTTACTTCTCCACCCTTCAAGAAGAGCTGGATGCTTCATATATAGTAAAGAGAAAAACTACTTAGTAATATCAGACAAAATTATAAGAGTCGTCCTCTACAAACATACAAATAAGATACCTATTTTTTATCTCAAAGATGTCTATTTTAGATTGAAGGGAAAAAAACAAGTAGGTGAAGTCTTCAAGAGTAGAACTGGTGCACATTTTTTGGCAAGAAGCATTTCTTAGAACAAATTTTCTGTTCTCTCAGCAAAAAGGTAGATCAATTCAATGAATGGATATAATTCAAAAGCTATCTATGCTCTAAGCAACTTATCTGATTGAGGCTGGAGGGAACACTTCAGATAACCTAAAACTACTCGTCAGGGTTGTGGGAAAGACAGCACATGCTTCCCACAAATACATTTTTGAAAAAGGAAATCTTTTCAGGCTTTATTTTTAATTTTCACTCTTTTTTTCTTCTGCTTCTTCTTCCTCCCAATTTTGTTTCTTTACTGAAGTGCTGTTTTAGTAAAGTACTATTTTGCTTTTTCACACAAATTGGAGAATTTTAAAGTGATTTTTTTTTTTTTTTGGTAAAATATGATACTGAGTTTGAATGATCTGTTTTGTTTAAAAATACTCAATGAAGTCATATCCTGAATTGGAACTTCTCCCAACATACCCCTTCCTTTTAGATTCGTATTTTTGTCTGCGTGTTATTTGGATGTTATCACCTCATATTCTCATTAAACTAAAGATTTCTACCTGTTACCTTCCCTAGCCTTTAGGTGTATACAGACGTAGATAGAGATCTTTCTCTCTCAGATCTTTTGAGGAAAAAATGGCAAAGCACCTTTCAGCGGTGTGCCGTGAACCACACTTCATTAGCTTCCCGCATGCCTGCCGTGAGAGCAGAAGAAGAACCATCCATATTACAGGGTGGAAGAATAGTGCTGAGTCGCACACTGGCTTTCATGTTTCTGATTTATGTTTTCTGACTTACCTTCTGTGACGGTCTGAAACTCCTGAAAGGCAAAGGGCTAAAAAGTGAGAGAAAGCTTCAGGCTTACCCTTATTATCATGTCTCTTTCAGGTGTTTAGGTGTGTCCTTGCATTTAGCTGTATTAGTTGACTTTCAGACAATGGTATGTCAGAAAGTATTAATATTCACAATTAATATATTGGTATATAGTTTTAGAGTGCCATTCCTCCTTGTGTTTCCGTCACTTTCCTATTGCGCCGCTCGGATGCTTTCCCAGCGATGCTGAAGAGCGATGGCTTTGGCGAAAGCTCCATCACCAGTCACTGACAGCAGGATGCGGTACAGCAACCATTGCTTCCCTTCTGTCGGCGGGGATGCTAGTACAGCATCCCTCTGCAGGGGGGGAATTTCTTTGTAGCATTCATTTACAAGCGGAAGATTTAATGGGCTGCAAGGTTCGATCACGAAGGCTTTTTTTCCTGCTGAAGCAGCTTGTCATTTTAGTTTTAACTACAGGAGACAGGACAAAATTGTTAAAGCAATCCAATTATATTAGCTATTGAACAGGGGATTTCTGTCCACCTTTCCTGAGTGAAAGAAAGTAGCAACAGCTGTATGAGCCTTTAAAACTTCCCACATTGCAACATCCCTAACGTGACTGGGGGATTTTGAGAAGTCTGGGTATTCTGCCACCGTCCAGCTAGAGATGAGTGCTTCTGACAATCCACTCCCTGCTCCGCAGTTTCACCCCCCAAAGGATATCTTTGCTGAAAGCAGCATGCTGAACCCCATAATCCTTCTTTATGATCCGTTTTAAAATGAGATAGAAATCAAGCAGGTGAACTCTGAATTTCCGACTTATTTTTATCTTTGCAGCAAAGTATTTCAAAGAGTCTGTCATCACCCACAGGAGAGAGAAAGCCAGTCACAACAACTAGCTGGTATTTATTTACAGTTTAGCAAGGGAGAGGTTGTACAAGCGTAGGCAAGCGTTTCGGGTGCCTGGAGAGCAAGTGCATCCTCAGTTACAAGGTATGGCCTCTCTTCTGAATATTCACATCCTACCCCCCCCATTAGCATGGGTAAATGGTGACGGCAATTTCTGTGGAGTCTCTTCATTTACATGGTGAAATAATAAACTCCCAGCTTTTGACAAATGTGTAACAGAAAGCAGGGTTGCTCAACTAATTGAGCTAACTGGCAGGACATTCAGTAATATTCAGGTCCCACTTTTGCCGGTGTGCTGTTCGCACCTCTCCTTTCTTCCAGGCTGCAAACTGCAAGTGCTGCTTTCAGAGCCACATAGGACACAAAGACCCCGCTCTCGACCTCCAGTTGAGATTTGTCATTTCTCTTGGTTTTTGAAGTTTGACAAAAGTAAATCCCTGCTCACTCTGTTACTTCCCACCAGCTCAGTGCTCGGAGGAGAGTTGCCCTGAGCACCTCGGGGTCCCTCATCAACTGCACAAAAACCACAGCAGAAGAATGCAGCTCAGGAAGTAAAGCAAGCAGCCAAATACGTGGCCGTGTTTTAGCAGCCCCTTCATCTCAAATATTACAAGTTCATTTTTTTACTTTCTTCACAGCCGAAATAAAATACAGAAGTTGGTTGTGTTTCTTTGGAGCTCTCTTGTTATTTTCCCAGTATGAGAGCGACATACCCTGCTGTTAGGCCCTCAGGTATTCACATACACTTTTTTAACTTACAAAACCAATTTCTAGTAAGTAGCTTATATCAACTCCTCTACACTTACCTAATTTAAAACACACCTTCTGAGAAAAAAAAACACAAACTCCAAACCATGGCAGGATGTTACATGCTGCCTACAAAGCAGAGTGTACACTCAATTTTCACCTGCTGTAGCTACTGTTGTCTAATTCATGTTGGCATGGGGGCTAGTTGGCTGGGAGCTGCAGCTGATTGCAAAGTCAGGAGCAGGAGGAATCAGTGTAGATTTCAGAACCTGTCTGAAAACAAAAGATTTTTGGTTCAGTGCAAAGCAACATCTTGTTTCTTGGGGCAGACTGACCTGCACAATTTTTTTTTCTCAAGGGAAATCCAAAAGCTCCCCAGAAGAATTTTTGGGAGAAGGCATCAAAAATTTCCGAGCAAAAATCTGAGCATGCGTTTGGCCAGCTGAAGATCGAGGCATCCTTAAGGATTTTCCTATGTGGTAGCCCAAGTTGTTAATTCACAGCTTTCATTCCTAACAAAAGCTGCAGTGGTAAATGAAAGTTAATCCACCTTACAATTATGAAAGCACATGGGCTTATACTATCCTGAAGAATAAGGCTGTGACTAGGTGGAACAAACATGGCTTTTTTATACAGTCCTGCTGAAAGAAGATGTTGCTTAATTCCTGAATTCCTTGAAGCATTCCTGACAGCAATCACATCTGCTGCCATAAAACCCATCACGGCCTCTGCCTTTGGGAAAAATGTATTTAATAATCAGTAAAGTTCAAGCTCAGCTTGTTGTGATGAATTATTAGAACCCGTCATCATTTTCTTGGGGGAAAAAAAAAAGGGGGGCTATAATGGAACACAATTTTATGTTTTTCCATTTAATTGATGACAGGCTGAGTTTTTATTAATCTTTCTGGGCTCCGGTGTAAGATGCTGAAAAAGCTAATATGAGATCATTGTATCTGGTTAATGTGTGTGCTTTGCAAAATTGATAAGGCCTGTCAAGACATAAATTATTTAAAATTTGATAAATGTGTTGAAATCATTGAATTTTCAAACAGACAAAGCAGAGCTATTTCTCTTCCCCCCCACCCCCTTCAAAATGAGGGTTTTGTGCAGCCGCTCAATGATGCTGCACTATCCTTGCAGCACACGGCTTGTAAGGTACTGAAATTAGCACGAGGAAGCCAGAGAAGTATCCTGTGCTGCTGCAGCAGTGACACGAATATGAGATACAGCCTTAGGGATGGAAGTAGCAGAGAGAGAGGAGACCACTGGAAGCCTCCCCCAGTATGAGTTTTTCACTGGCAAAACTGAGGGCAGGCTACTGAGTACCACCTCCCTGCTACCACCCCTTCCTCTCCATCGGTGGGATAAAAAGCTCACAGCAGCACCAGTGAGCAGCCGAATGGTGCTTCAGAGCTGTTTATCCCAACAGACCTATTTATTTCAGCTAATTGCCGAGAGTTTTTAAATGATTCCTGGCAGGAGTGAAGCTATAGAAATGATTGCTGGTGATTGATGAATAACCTGGATAAAATTCCCAAAGCATCAAAACAATTAACTCTTGCACGGGTACACCTGCTTTTATTTAGTGCCTTGCCCACAGAGGAAGGTGTGGGAGCAAGTTCCAGATGAACCCAAATTTATTTGGGCAAATAGAGAAAATACAGCATTTACCAATACCAGTGTCTCATCCATGCAGGCTCATTTCTCAAAAATAGTTCACAGGGAACATTATTGAACCCTGTGCTGCTCTACCATGGTCAGGATCATTCATGGAAGAGAAAGGTTTTGAAGAGCAATCACTGTCTTTCACAGAAGCACACAGGAAGAAGCAATGGTTTGAAGTTTAAAACTCCATAAATATAGACCACATCATCCTTGGTTTGAGCTGTTCTTGTGGTTAATGTAGCAAAAGAAAACAGCAAGGCATGTTGTGGATTCTGTACATCTCGATAGGTCCAAGATTATGTTTCTTACTGGACAATATCTACAGTCTGATGGAAATTTTAGGGTAACTGGGTGACATTTTACAGCCTCTGTAATATGGAAAAAGATTAGGTGATATCTTCTGTTTGGAAACTGATGGTTTGAAGGGAATGGGAAAATGCAGGTGCAGCAGAGGAGAACTACAGCAATAGCCATCTATTTAAATGTATACACTAACTTCCCTAAGCGTATTTTTCAAATACCCCACTAGCAATATTTTCCACTATAAGAGAGAAGCATTATAGTGAAATGGGAAGATGCTGAGGAAGTCATTTTTTCCAGCATGTGCTGCATTCTTTTAATACAGATTTTTTTATTTCCCGGAAATTGCTAACCAACGTGAATAAACAGCTGAACAAAGAGCATCAGCCCATCTTTGCTAATAGCAAAAAGCTGTCATCAAGCAAAGGGTCTTTGCACTGTATAGGTGAAAATGAAGCGCTAAGAGGTCAGTTCTCTTACATTGCGGAAAGCTTTATGCAAAATAGAAAAAAAATCTATACACGCACAAAAAAGGCTTTACATTAAAAAAGCACGAATATTATTCACGTTTCTGAACAATGCACCCTCATTCCTGCTCCTGCGCTGGGCACTGAGCAGAACCAGTCGGTTCTTTGTTAGACACCGTTTTACTGAATGTTTGCAAAACACAACAAATGTACTACCCAGAGCCTGCAAAGTCCCCTTCCCTGCAACCGACTGAGCTGACAACTGTCAGCCTCTGAATCTCATTCCTATAACAAAATCAGTGAAACAAGACAGCAGTAGGATGAAGCAGGGTCAAGAATTAAGGCTGCATGAGATTGTAGAATCCTACAGTCCGCAAACTATTTCAAAGAGGAGGAGGAAAAAATTACTCGGGTTAAGTGTAAGGTACAACTTTCAACAGTGACTAGTGATTGCTATCTAGGCCTTAAACAGGAACATTACATCCTTATAATTCAACATATTAATGATTTCGTGTTCCCATATTAAGAAAGCTTTCATTGTGAAATAGTCCACGTCACTGTAGCTCTGGGGACATGTTTCATTACCTTATGAGTACACCTCATTCCGTGTAACATGTAGATAATTAAAAGTAGTAGTAGTTTAGCATGATGCAACTCTGCAATTCCACCATCGTGGTTTTGAAATAATTGTGCCCTAATACCTTATCAATGTGACAAACCCACCCGGCTTTAGCGTGCATTAATGTTTCTCACCCTTCAGCCATCCTGAACCATATACCTACATATTTCTTCTTTTTATATCAGAGCCTTCTGAAAAAAGCAGTTCAGAAAGCAATGCTCTGCTATCTCATTTGAAGTGAGAGCCCCCTGAAGAGACATACATTGAGTATTACCAGTAACACATGACTCAATGCCCTCTAGATCTCTTCATAAAAGGAGAGGGGAGAAAAGCCAAAGAGCCATTGCACGGATTTCAATAAACATTGCAAAAGAAAAGTAGCCCAGAAGGACAATTGCGTGTGTTCCAGTGCCCTTGCCAGAGGACAGTCAGAGCTGGGTGCAGACACAAGCAAAGTTAGAACCTCCTGTGAACCAAGCAGCTTCGTTTCTAGGTATTTCTCCTTAAAATTTCCAACCACAGTTCCCTCCGGCTCAGTTGCTAAAAGCAATACCAACTCTAGGTGCCCGCGGTTTTGAGTGATCATTAGCATTTTAAGTAGCAGATCATTTAGACGTGCAAAAACAGAGAAAAGTTTCTGGTATTTCAGCACTGCCAGGCCCCTGGTCCCCTCTGGAATCTGGAAATGCAGCAGAAAAGCCTCTTTTTTTGTGCTTCTAAAGACCTCAGGTTAGTTTTGGGGTGAAGGATGGGTGAACATGTGCATCAGTTCTTGTTTCATCTGAACAGAGTCACTTCTCCGCAGCAGGGGAGTTATTTCCCTGGCAGTGGTGATGGCCAGCTGTTCTCAGCATCACCCGGCTGATTTTGAGCTTGCGAGCAGGCTTAAAAATGGCTGAGGAACCATGCATAAACATGACATTGCTTCACCAGGAGCTTTCCATCACAGTGGAAACGATGCTTCCCCAAGCATCGTTATGACAGTGCTATTTGTGCTGGTACAGATAAGCATCTGTCACTGTTTCCATTAGAATCTCCTATTTTCCTGGGTTCATAGCTCAGCCATAAAAAATGTAGCGTAGAGGCAGAAAGTTGACATACAAGGTCTCCGGCTGAGAGTGATCATTGTTGTCTCCCCCCTCCTTTTCTAATCTGAAGAAGAAAATAACATATTTCTGCAGAGACACACCTGACCACTACATTTGGATCCAGCCATAGATTTATTTAGCAATAGCCACCTTTCAACATTCAAGTTGTGAACGTTGCCGTGATGGCCGCCTTTCAACATTCAATCTTAATTACTGCATTAGGGATGATCAGGAAGAACATGTGGTAAGTGGGTTTGGGCTCTCATTTAGAGCCTATTGCTAGAGAACAGGCCCCAGTGAAGATTAAGGGCTTTGGAGTTTCTGATCTTTGCCAGATGATGAAATGAAAAATTGAAGATTATAGAAACAACAATTGAATATTATAGAAACTGAATACTGCTAGGAACTAAAGGCGTAGAAGACCCCTTTGGGATCAGTAGCAGAGGGAAAAACAAGCCCAGCAGTGCAGTTTCCCTAGTGAGACAGGCAGCACAAAATCCCACCTCATGAATTCAGCATCAGCGCTCAGTGCTTTGACTGCTTTAGGCAAACTTCCACCCCGCAATCTCGCTGTGGTTGCCTACAGGATAGGGAAAACCCCGTCCTGCACAGTAGCAATGCTGGGAGCCCACCACCCTGATCCCAGCATTGCAAAATGGGTGCTGAAGCGAGAGCGGCATTTTGCAGGAGGAGGAGGCGGCAGCATTTTGGGGATGAGGACAGTACAACACTGTTCCTTCTTTTTTCCATTTTAAGCGCCTTTTCTTTCTGTTCACACATTTTGTAAGCATAATTACAACTGAAAAAGTTTTTCTTTATACATTAGGATGATGCTGTAAGACAGTCCTGAAGAGAACAAATCCCGAAAACGCATTCTCCAAAACTTACATTCAAGGTTTAAGGGACCTAAAAAGAAAAAGTTAGATGATCATTTCTAGCTTGTTGAAACACAGATCCTGCTTCTGTGCTGCATTTTCAACAGGACTTCTCTCTCTGCGCGTACAGCAAGAACGTACCTGGGCGATGTGTCCCTACATTAAATTGGCAATCTGCTATTTACTGAGACCTGCGTGTTTGACTGAAATCGAACACCATTCTGTTGCTACCAGCAGTAGTTATTAGCTTTTCGATTGCAGACAATTTCACATTAGACTTAGCGTGGTCTAGTCACGTTTCTGAAAAATGATGAGACGTGCTCTATGGCTGGGATTGCTCAGCACTTCCTGAAGGTTAGGCATCGCTAAATACAGGCAGTTTAGCACCTGAAACCAACACACCCCAAAATAACGTGATTTTCGCAATCTGTCTCAAACTAAGAGCACAAATGGGCATGCTAAGTTTGGAAAAAATGGAAAAGGCAACACCAGAAAAGACAAATGCACAATAAACATTTTAGTATACAATTGCAACACCAGAAGCAGCTGAGTAAGGATTTTAAGCCTAAACCAGTTGGGGGGTTAAGTGGGGAGAAAAACAAAGGGGAATGGAAAATTCTGCTGTTCTATTTCACTCCATCTTTTAGCAAGGTGCCACTTTGCTGTTCAGGTTTTCCAGCACTCTTAGGTATATTTTTATCTAACAAATCTGTGAGCACAGGGTGTCTGCATGCTCTTGCACATCACAGCCCTGGACCTGTCCAGTGATTTATCCTTTTCTCCCAGTGGATGGCTCCCATTAAGCTTTTTGCATTTTCTGTAAGCTATTTGGAGTAAAATCCTTGAGCTTTCATAGGGCAGCAGCAATTATTCCATTAGAGTAGTGCACGTGACTGGACTGGCTCAGACCTTATTGGTGTAAAAATAAATATTAATGCCTCCTTTTTTATCTTGACAGTTTTATTTTCACACTTTATACAACTCTTTCTTTCTGTTTTGAAACAGGTATTTTGTGATGCTAATCAAGTCGTACAAGCCACAGATGTGCTGGACTGGGAAGACAAGGATGCTGCAGAGACATTGGTTGACAACGTGGTCCACTCCAGGATCATCAATCCTTTACGCCTGTTTGTTAAGCCATCTCCAGTACTGAAACACGGCCAGGTGTCCTACTCAGACAGCATAGAAAACTTTTGGGATTGGTTGTCCAACATCACGGAGGTTCAGGAATCTCTCGCACGAACTAAACGCAGACCTATAGTAAAAACCGGGAAATTCAAGAAAATGTTTGGATGGGGCGACTTCCACTCTAACATCAAAACTGTTAAGCTCAACCTCCTGATTACAGGGAAAATCGTCGATCACGGCAATGGGACCTTCAGTGTTTATTTCCGACATAACTCCACAGGTCTGGGAAATGTTTCCGTAAGCCTGGTGCCACCTTCCAAGGTGGTTGAGTTTGAATCATCTCCACAGTCAACACTGGAGACCAAGGAATCCAAGTCCTTCAACTGCCGCATTGAGTATGAAAAAACAGACCGCGCTAAAAAAACTGCCTTGTGCAATTTCGACCCTTCAAAGATCTGCTATCAAGAGCAGACTCAAAGCCATGTCTCCTGGTTGTGTTCCAAACCATTTAAAGTTATCTGCATTTACATTGCTTTTTACAGCGTAGATTACAAACTGGTGCAAAAGGTCTGTCCTGATTATAATTACCATAGTGAGACTCCGTACTTGTCCTCTGGCTGATACAGTCATGGGTAACCGTAGAGATACAGCATCAGTCACAAAAATAAGCATTTCCATTAACCTTTTGGAGAAGAATATGTTTTCCTATCAGGTTAAAAAGTCTTTAAAAACTGTAGCTGTGTTTGTGCTGTATCGTAAATAATCAAACTACTTATATAACAATCATTTTCATTTGAGACCATCGTATTGTAGCTCTCTCATCATTAATAAGGGAACTACCAGGCAGATACATGACAAAAATCAAACAAAATTATGTCTGTAATGAACATCAATCTTGAAAATTGTTTTTTTAAACTAGACTCGATGGCAGAGAGGTTGTCTTTTACTTGAATTGGACAGCACTTAGCAGGATCCTATTTCTCACTGGGAACTTTAGATGACAATATAAAGAAAAAATTATGAAGCAGACTCCCAGCTGCTTATATACTAAATCCAAATAAACAGCTCTGCCACTAATTTCATAAAGAATGTTACACACACACAGCTCAAGGAATCAAGTCCAAATACTAAGAGAAAGTTCTATTTCTAGGACAAATAAAAAAAGGGGGATCTGCATTTTTATGAGTTGTAGGAGTGGTACATATTCATTGAAGAGTACTTCTTCCTTCAAACTTCTTACCCCTGGATATACAATGATGTAATTAGACATCGATGAGCTTTAGTTTTTTAGACCCACCAGGTGTGCAGGTTTAGCATACACCTCTTCCTTCCGTGGTCACCATTGGTTTTTATTCTTCTCAAATGTTTACATATACACCAGTACTAGTTTTACGGTGATAGAGGATATACATACCTCGGAAAAAGATAATCTCTGTTTAAGTCTGAAAATGGTGACGGGGGCTGGTTTCCACGTAAAGGAAGCCATTATCTTGCTATCTAGCCCTCTTAGCACTGTATTGCAGCAAGGAAAATACATCACAGCGTAAGGACAATACACAAATAACACAAACTTTCTGCTTAATGCCACCCAGTTGTCTTCCTGAGTATTGCATTGCATACTTCAAGTCAAAATACAAGCAATGACAAATAAAGAGGACAACAAAAATCTATGCATCTTCACCTCATAAAGCAGATTCCAAACAATTGCTATCAATATCAAAATATTCAGCCAGACTTTCCCCTAGTACAGAATAGCGTCACTCCACTGCTGTTAAGTATAAGAACGGAGGGTCCAGCTGTGGTTTTGCTTCAACAGGACAGATGTTGCTCCCACCACAGCCAATAGCAGTCAGCTCCAGCAATGCAGCTTCAAGCATCAATCCCCTGCACTTTCGTTGGGTATTGATTTTACTGCTGCTGCCACTTTGCTATCATAGGTCTTTGTAACAGTTCAATGTCACAGGTCCCGTGGAAGAAGCTTGCTGAGGAAGTGCTTTTTATTGCCTCTAATCAAACTTACATGCAGGGTCCAAGAAGTTACATACAGCTTAAATGAAGTACTATTAAAATACTCTGTTCAAGTGGTATGCACTTAGACAAACGACTGACAGGTCAGACTCACTCATGAGATTAATTCTGATTTCCTTGGTAAAGCCTCATACAAAAAAATTACTCTTAAAAATATACTACAAGTAACTGGCTAATTTGTTTTTCTCTTTCAATGACAAAGTTAAATGTGTTGTTTAGTTTGATCAATAATCTAAATGTTTTCCTTCATCTTATTTCATACAGAGTCTCTCCCAGTCTAAATGATGGTTTTTAGTTTGTCTATTACTGTTGATTCCTACAAGATGGTCTACTTTGTATTCTGTATAGCATGTCCTCATCCTGGCTGTACATAAGCTTGGATTTATTGCTATGAGTTCAGTGGTTGGTGCTTTTGTAACTTAGCTGTAAGCCATGATTTTATTGCCATGTATTTTTACTCAGCACTGTAGGCAATTAAAAGAAAATCCTACATGCTATTTATTGTAGACTATGTGGAAATCATGTATGTATATACACTTAAATATGTGTACATATACAGAATATATGTGTACATGTATTTGTAAATAAATAGAGTTTGCTAAATCTGGCACTTGCTTGCAGCATATTTGATATTTTTCAAAACGTTGCTTTCTGTCTTTATATATACAAAACTAAGGCACTGCAACACATCGCCAAACATTTTTCCCCAGCTGGAATTTGTTTTTCTAGGAGATATTGAAGTATGCACTACAGTGAACTGTGCTACAAGCCTAGGCAGAACAGGTTCAATAGCATTTCATAATATTCGAGAAATGAAGTGCATGTTTTGACGGAGACAATCTCGAACTGTTACATAATTGTGCAAGGTACATTAAAAGTAAAGGGGTTACTCTAAATTAGAAAACAGACGTCGGCTCCTCCCAAGCAGGAAGGCGCTGGGAGAGGCAGCAGCCCGCTGCCGCTGCAGCCCTTGCTCTGAGTTTCTCATTGAATCAGGAGCTGGACTCTCCCCCCGCAGACATCTCCCTGCGGCACAGCCACGTCCCGCGTTGAGGTTTCCAGACCTCAGGAAGACAAACCAGGGCCTTGAGCAAAGAAACATCGCTCTGGAAACACCCGGAGCGCCTGGGCCACCTGAAAGGCTATTGTGAATAAAGGGACAGGTATTTTAACAGGTTTAACACCTGAGCTTCTTGAACACTGAGAAGACGTGCATCCAACCAGCGGCTTTTGCTTAAAACAACTCGCAGGCTCTTCAAGTGAGGCTCGGGCTGGTGCCATGCCATCGGAGCAGCACTGGGCACAGGGAGCGGTGGAGAAACGGAGCCCATGACAGCAGGGGGAGAGGGTCCTGCCACCCCGGGACCCACCCGCAGCCCGTCCTCCAGCAGAGCAATGGGAAGAGCTGTCCTCTCTCACCTCTAAGTCCCACCAAGGAGCTTTCCTGCCCCTAAACCTCCTAATGATAGAGGAGCCACCACCACCCAACCCGCCCGACTCCCTCCGTGCCTAGCAGACACAAAACAGTTCGGCAAAAGCCAAAGTTTGCTAAAAGACAAAGGCAAGGGCACAGAGGACCTGCGCACCCAGGAGAGGCTGCCTTTGGAGACTTGGCAGTTGCTTTAACATAGCCCAAGTGTTTCCCCCAAGGAGAAGCGAACCCTCAGCAGCAGCCTTCGACCAGTTTTCCGATGTTTTGATGCTGGGGCGATGGGAGAAGCTTGTACCGCTTTCCTCCCATCAAGCCTGGGCACAGGAAGGCAGCCTGGCAGCTGGAGCAGGAGGAGAGGGGTTTTGGTACCAAGGCTGGCTCCATCAGGCCAGAGAACTCGCCACCACACTTTTTCCAATCACAATACTTTAAAAATCAGCTTAAACAGCATTATGGGGGTTTTTTTTCAGATCAATTTTGAGAATGTCACTGCAAAAAAAGCACTTACAATCTTATTGCAGTCAAAATCAGATTAAGAAGAAATTACACCTAGCAAGGTAAGCAAAATACAATCCAATGAACCGAAGTGACAGACTTCATTAGGTCAAATTTCACACTGCCCATGTAAACAGAACTAAATTTGATTTAATTTCACACCGAACGGGCCATATTTCAAAAAACATTTTCCTATATAACAGGTGACTATTTTAGACAAGTTTCAAATCTCAATGATTGTTCCTCTCATGACTCTTATTCAAAGATTTTTAAAATAAAAATTTGGAAGATTAGATACCATTTTTTGGAAGTGTCCCAAGTGGGCAATAATGACTTATGACCACAGCAACTTAATCTAGAAGTTTTTAATATACATACTTTAGTTTAATCCAAATCTCAACAGTATACTTTTGTATACATTTATATCAATGCAAATACGTAAACTCCTTATTAAATACACTACCTATTGTTGTCCCCATTCTGTGGGCATACGTATAAAAAAATCCCAATAAAAAGCTAATTCGCGATACACACATAAGCATCAGCTTTTTTTCTTTAGACAGCCCACCATACAGCACCACGGCAACCATACGCATTCAGTATTTTCGTTTTTAATCATTTCAACTTGAACAGCGAACTAACTTAGTTTGGTTTTTCTTTTTCCCCTCGAGAGTTTCATCCTTTGGATCCTCAGCCCTTTCACCTCCTTGTAATGCTAGCTGGTGGTCGGATCCTGCCGCGAGCTCCTTGCCCTCTCAATCATCCCAGCACCGGCAATATTGCGCTGGGACCCGGGGCTCTCTGCCCACCTCACCGCCTGCGTGCCAATTCCCAAGCTCTTACTTTCAGCGGCCGTGCTGTACTACAGCAGCGAGCAAGACAGGAAAAAGCAAAAAGCTGAGTATTGTTTGCTGTGAGCTCCCTGGGGTTGCTACTTTTTCTTTTTAGGGGGAATTTACTAGGCAGTGCTGAAAGAGCAAACCCCTGAGTAATCCTGATGCAACTGGAAAAACTCTCACAGCAACTAGGCAAAGGTGTTCGGTGCAAATCAGCATCCTGTGCTGCTTTTTCCTTTTAATTTTAATTCAAGGACATTAGATTTCACTATTTGTTTTATGCTCTGTTGAGCGGCATAATCTGGATAATGTTTTATTTATAGTATAATAATAATTCGTCATTACCACCGTCCCTATTCAAATATGCACAGTTGAAATGACAATAACAAGTCGCATATACTAAGTAGCTCAATGAAATACACATCAATCAAGTAGATTTTTAGCTGTAGGGTATCTCATTTGAAAAAACTAGACTTTGCCATTCTCGTCTGTCTCCTGTGAACATCTCTTGCACGCATCTGCCAGAAGCGGCTTCCTCCTTTGTTTAAAAACAAATAAAGTGACATTTCTCACCTATTGGCAACTAGCACCAAACTGTACTTAGAGGATATTGCCTGTACTGTATTCATCTCTGACAAAACCCTAGGAATTAATGTAATTCAATCGCAGGTTTACGAAACCAAAATCATACATATTTAGATCACATCCCTGGTGGATTCAGGTCCCTGGAGTTAGTGAACAGAAGTTAAACCACATCTCTCTAGACAGCTCCTTATTGCCTATGTAGCCCAGCTTGCTGCATGTTGCAAGGAACACAGCGGCTCCTCAAA